ATATACTATTCTTGGGTTATATTTGGTATAATTTATGTGACTTTTTAGTACACAATAGATTGCAATAGATATTTATTGAAGTTTAAAAATAAATTTTAATATCATTTTACCCCACTCGGCTGAACTTACTGTGAGATTAGGGCTGATTTTGTTGATTTTTACATCGGTTTCTGCTCTTGTTTTTTGTTTTCTCGGCAGTAAATAAAGTTTTGTTTCTCTTTCGCTTACATTTCCTTCTGATATGAAAATTGAGTTATTTTTTGTTTGAAATTTTGTTTTTTATTATTTGAGAAATTTTTTTGTTACCTTTTCTGCCGACTTTAAACGAGTTAAATAGTTATTTAATAATCAAACTAATCGTATCTCATTTTCATTGCTATTTATATAATCATAAATTTGCATTAATAATACAATTAAGTAAGTTTTATCACTTTGTATTTTAATAAATTATTATTTATAATGATTTCGAGCACTGATATAATATCACAGTATTTTATAAATAGTACACTATTTATAATAGCATTTAGTTCACTAAATATAATACAATTATAGCTCCCTTTGCATTGTTTCTGGTATTCATTTTGAGAGTTATTATCAGTTTTAGGGATTAATTTATTATTCAAATGAGATTTTAATCTCTCGGCTCTTTGTTTTGCATATAAATTGTTACGAATCGTAAAAGTAATTGCAAATTAAACTATACTTTATTTTTTGTTGAATACTATAGTGTATGAAAAAATTGTACACTAATCGCATGGTTAGGGAAACCCGTATTAAATGAAAAACTTTTGAGAAAATAATTGTATCTTTAGTTCAGGAGAGGAAATGTAAGGAAGTGTTGCCTTAAAATCCATTTAACCACTTATTATCTCAACCAAAAACTCAATTTTGCGTTTTTTATCTTCTTCTTTAACACCACTTGTCGTTAACCTGTTTCTCATAATACGGGATATTAATGGGTATTAATGTCTATTTTTGTCTGTCTGTATGTCTGCCCCTCCAGTGGCCAGTAATCAACAGAATATCCATATTCTTCACACATTGCTCTACGACCTGAAGAAGATAATGAAGAAGTACTACTGTTGGGGCCGTCCGTTGGGCAGCACTCGGCTATGGGAGCAGCACTTGAGGACAATGGAGCGCATCTGCAATATGGCCAACAAAATTGAGATTAAAAAGGTTTGCAATTTTGTGGACCAATCTTAGACTTGTTTCGCATAGTTTTAATTGATTTATATGTCTTATTGTGTGTCTCATAACAGCAACCGGAAGACGGCAGCAAACGACTGACGGATTTGCCCGAAGAGCTGATCCGTGAGATACTTCTTCGGCTGACGGACTACAAGGATCTGATGAATTCGGGCGAAGCGTATAATATAATGCAATCCCTTTTGGATGAACAGCACATATGGCGACAACTGTGCAAATATCACTACTCGCGGGCGCAGTTGCGGTGGCTCTTCGCCAACACCACCAACACATGCACTCCCGATGGAAAAGTCGATTGGGAACAAGTGTTTCATCAGCTTAGAAAGTAAGTCACCATGTTTGTTTTGTTTTGTCATATTTTGCGGTTAGCTATATAGTTCAGTCTCTCTCTCTCTCTCTCTCTCTCTCTCTCTCT